GAACCCGTGTCCCCTGCATCGGCAGGCGGACTCTCAACCACTGCGCCACCAGGGAAGCCCTCTGGCTACTTTTAAAGTCCTCTTATTCTTCAGTTTAAGTGTAATGTATCATGGTGTGGGCTTAATTTTACTTAATTGACTTGAGATTTTTTGTGTTTCCTGAATCTGAAAATGGATATCTTTTATCAGTTCTAAAAAATGCTTAGCAATTAGCTCATCATATATCACCTCTCCCCATTCTCTTTATTAACTTCTTTGGGAAATTCAATTAAATGTATTTTAGACATTACTATTCTATTTTCTATATCTCTTAACTCCTTTTTTATACTTTTTATTTTTATCTATCTTTGCTGCAGTCTTCTAGTTTCTTGTAATTTCTTTTAGCTCTTTCAGGTTGCTAATTCTCACCTCACCTGTGTCTTACCTGCTCTTTAACTTATTCATCGAATTTCTTTTTTACAGCTTTCTTGACGTATTATTTACATAGAATATACCGCACATATTTAAAGTGTACAATTTGACAAGTCTTGACATATGTACATGTGTATATGTCCATGAAATCATTACTACAATCAAGATAATAAGCATATCTGTCACCCACCCCCGACATGTTCTCCTACTTCTTTGTAGTCCTTTCCTCTTCTTCCTGCCCACCTTCCCACATTCCCAGGAAACCTCTGATATATTCTGTCATCATAGATTAGTATGTATTTTCTACAGTTTTATGTAGTAAAATCAACTCTTTAAACCACTTAAAACATAGTTCTCAAGTTGCAGTATCTTGTATGACATAGGAAGTATAATTAGGGCCTCAGAGGTGCGAAGGCTGACTTTGTGGTTTAGAATCCTCGGGGGACGATGTCCTTGCTGTTTTCCCTTTGCAGGGTGCATTACTTTCTAGTTCACCTTCACTACAGGTTGTAGCCTTAGGCAGCTCTGGCTTTACCTAGGATCTCTGAAACAGCTTCCTACCTTACAGAGGCCTATCCTCCGTGCCCTGTAAGTCATTAAAACCACAGCTCTGGGTCCCTGCGGACCTGTGGATGCTCTCAGGTGACTGCTACCCTTAGTAGTCCCTTAAACACTCAAGGTTTGTGCTCCCATCCTGCCTTTAGCCTCTGACAATTACATCTATCTTCTTGAAAGCTCAGTCATATATTTGAAAATTTTTTTAACATTTTATTTAGGTGTTTTGTTTTTATAGTAGGGGGAATTTTTTAAACGCTATTTAGTCCACCTTGTTGCTGAAGTGGAATTCAGTTTAATATCATCTTCGAACTTAGGAGCAACATCCTTTTTGTGTTCCCTCTGTGGTAGTTCTCAAACTAACTCACTCAAGTGCTTGCCAGGCTACATCACAATCTCCTGGGGCTTTTGTGTAAAAATTTGTGTGGTCTGTGGTCTCACTGTGGTCTCACTTCAAACCTATGGAATTAAAATCACCCTCTGGGTGTGAAGCCTACGAATCTGACGTTTTAAATTCTTAAAGCCTCTTAGGGGTTCAGATCCTTAACCAGGATTACACTCCTATACTTCGAATAGTGCAGGGTCCTCAGGAAAATCCTTTATGTCCTTAGATTATCAATGGTATTGTTTTCTTCAAACAAAAACATTTTTATACTAGTATACATTTCATTTTCTGGACATACTTCCACACTGTCTATACAGCTTTAAGTTTTGTTAATGAAGAATTCAATGAGGAATTCAAATTTCAGACCCATTTTCCTTTATAGTCTTTGTTGACCACAACCATCCGCTGCAATGTGTATTCCTGAGGAGCTGAGTGACAGGCAAGAAAGCATCTCCTTTGGCACATCCCTTTGAATAAAACCTGGGCATCTGCTGGCCCCTCACTGAAACATGAAGAGTGATTTTGACTGTTGAAACCATGGTCCAGAAGCCTGTGGCACTGGCCCTCTGCAGGCTGCAGCTGCCCCAGCTTTCATGGCCATCCCTGCTCCGCGCAGTTTTCTGCCTCATTCATCACGCTAGTGCTGTCATGTGAGGTGATTGGTTGCATATTATATTTAGCAGCAAACCTTTCTCTGACTTATAATATGCAAATATTATTCATCAGATGCTGTCTGTGCAGCTGTTGCCTTTTTTGAGGCCCCAGCCGATTTTACTTGACTGAGGATATCTTGGTGTAGAAGATTAAAATGGAATCTTGACTTATCACACTACAGAAGCCCACTCAATCCATTGTTTTGTTATGTGCTGTGTACTATGTGAAACCCATGAGGAAATGGAGGTCATTTTAATTAGGCCAGTAGATCCTGATCCTGCATTTTTTAGTTAAAATTTAAATTTTGAGTAAAGGGTTAGTTGATTCTTTATATTGCCTGTCATCTCAACACAAGAGCCTCTATTATGAAGAGATCATAAAGATTTGGTATCATGGGAATGCTGTTTAATATCATTCTGTGAGCAGTTAGATTTAACAATATTAATTTGCCTTAGTATAAAGAGGTTTTAGGGACTTCTTTGTATATGTGTATTTGTGTTTAAAATTTTTAAATCACATGGTACCAACCCCTTTAAGGGGTTGTCATAAGAAAAGATAGTCATAAGATAGTCATAAGAAAAGTAATTACTTTTACATCATATCAGGTTTTAGTGGTTTTGCAAAGTTTCTTTCCCCTGGTAGCTACTGAGTCATTGAGAGCATTATCCCAGGGAAAGAAAAGAGAAAAATATCGGTTAAGTGCAATAGGTCTTTAACAAATACTTGTCAGTTGATTACCTGTTGCCGTTTTCCTTAATACTAATTTCTTCCACCAGGGAGTAAAAATAAAACTTGGAACTCTAGTTAGAGTTGACCCATGAACAATATGGATTTGAACTTTGTGGGTCCACTTATATGTGGATTGTTTTCCACACAGCACTACATGATGCAGTTGGTTGAATACGCGGATGCGGAGAGCCAGCTATGGAACTTGAGAATCTGTGGATTTTGGTATCCACAGCGGGTCCTGGAACCAATCCCATGTGGACACCAAGAGATAACTGCATTTCTTTTTCCTTCCTCCCTCTCTTTCTCCCCTCTCTCTCTCCCTCCCTTGCTTTATTCCTTTTATTTATTTCTTTAGATATTTATTGAGTGCCTTTTATAGAACTTTTCTAGGAACTGAGAATATATCAGTGAATTAAGTCCTTGCCTTCATGGTTTTTACTTGTAAGTATAAAAGAGAAAAAACAAAAAGCCAAACACAGACCAGCTTATATAGGCATTTATAGATCATAGAAAATATTTTGGATTTTATTCCAAGTGTGATAGGTAGCTATTGGCTGGTTGAGAAAAGAAAATGGCAGGATCTGATTTATTTATATATATATTTATATTTCAGATCTAGAGCGTATATGATTTGCTGACATATGGTTACAGAGAGTGAGAAAGAATGGGATCAGGGATGACACCTTAGTTTTTGGCCTGAGTAAGCCAGTTAACGTAGGGGCCATTTACTGAGATGGGAAAGGTTTGGAGAAAAGCAGGTATGGAGTGGAAGGTTGGAGAATTAAGAGGACATGTAATGTTAAGAGACCTATTAGACACCCACATAGAGATGTCATCCATGTAGTTGGAAACACAAGTTTAGAGTCACAGGAAGAAGTCAGGGTAGGCATATATGTGTGGAGTCAGTAGTCTGTAGATGATGATTAAAACTATGGGAGGCAGAGAATGAGATACCCAGAGACCGAGCAGATGGTGAAGAGTCTGCTTCTCAGACTTAGGGCACGTCAACATCAAGAAGTCAAGAAGAGGAGATCCTGCAAAGGAACCCAAGAAAGAGAGAAAAGAGCATTTCATGAACAACGGAATGCTCAACTATATTAATTGTTAGAGAGAGGTGAGGTAAGATGAGGATGAAGAATTAACTACCGGATTTAACAAAGTAGAGGTGGTCTTTGGTGTCAGTAGAGTGATGGAAACCAAAATGTGATTTGAGTCAGTTCAAGGGAGGATGGAACTAAGGAAGTGGTGACAGTTGTATTGGGGATGACTGTTGTGGAGTCTCGCTGCTGATGGGAGCAGAGCAAAGGAGAAGTAGCTGGAGAGTGATAGGAGGTCAAAGGAAATTTTTGTCATTTTTGGTTTTTGTTTGTTTAGTAAAGTTCATCCTTTGTTTAAAAAAAAATAGGAGGCAGGATATATGGATACAGATGCTGGTAGCCTGGTAGACCTGATGGTAGGAGGCTAAAGTTCCCATGATTGCTTCTATTTTATGCTTAGGGAAATAAAAAAAATCATGAGCTGAGAGTGAGAGTGAGAGTGAGTGGAGAAGGGGAAAGACACACATTTTAAGTTCTAGAAGCAATGAGAAGGTATGAAATAATTATTTTGAAGAGTATGTTGCCTGTTATTCCAGGTCTTTTTAGACTCTGAGGTGGCACTGTAATCTCAGGAATACCAAGTATTTGTATGGATGTCTGGTAAAAGGAATCAGAATAGGAATATTTCAGGCTGAAAATCATTAATTATAAGCAGAATGTGTGGTCCCTGTGATTCGTTCAGGGAATGTATAAAAGTAATTTAATAAGTTCCAACTTAAAACATTTTTGAACAGCTAATATATTTACCTGGTTCAAAATGCAAAAGGAATAAATGTGTAAGCAATGAAGAGTTTCCTTTTCTTGCCCCCCTACCATCTTGGCCCTCTTTTGCCTGGAGTCTGTCAATAATAACACTTTCTTGTGTCTCCTTCCAGAGATATTTTACTGATCCATTTTTTTAAAGCTAAATCTATGCTAGGACTTTAAAAATAATCCTTTCTGCAATCAAGTAAATACTTAAAAAAATTATACTAATATTTCTCTATCCTCTTTAATTTATATAAAAATAATTTCAGAAAAGAGCAAGAAAGAGCATCTGTTTTAATACTGACTTCATAATGTTGACAGCCATCTGGCAGGAGTTGTGTCTGTTAGATTTTTCTTAAGAAATATGTATATTTAACAAGGTTCTTTTTTCTTCTTTGTCTTCACAGCTGATCTGGCATCTTTAATGGATAAAACATATGAGAGAAAGCTGCCCGTTAGTTCTTTAACAATATCACGGGTAAGAAAACTTAAATATAAAGAAAGAGAAAGAAGGCAAGAAAGCCACTTTATATACATGAGGCTCTGTAAATAAAGACTGCCTTTCATAGGATATATTTTTCCGGAGTGTGGTATGTTTTTGTAGTTGCTAATGGATATTTTATAATGAAGTAGCAACTTTCTTTGACTAAAATAAAAGGTAATAAATTTGTCAGACTCCAGTGTCAGTGATTACTGTTGTGTATCTGGTTTATTTTAACTTTTCCGGGATTTGGTATCATGATTTTTAAGTTGATATACCCTTCAAAGTGATAGTATTTACTTGTTAATATTGGAAGTAATTTTGGTAGTTGAGAAAGTCTATAAAAGAATGGATATTAATGTTAATGTTAAACTGCTACAGAGCAATGGATGGGAGAATAATATTAGGCTAGGAGTCAGGAATAGGTCTTGAGAGTAACCATTACTGATCACCTTCTGCGCCAGCTGTTGTACTAGTTTCTTAACTTACATTATCTTGCTCTTCTCATAGCGGCCATATGAGGTAAGCATTGTTATCTCCATTTTGCATGTAAGACTCAGAATGCTTGATGACTTTCCCAAGTTCACACAGTTCATAGGTGGAAAAATTGGGCTTCAAACCCATATCTCTGTGACATTGAAGTTCTTTTCTGTTGCCTCCCTTAAAGAGATCTTATCTTGTCTTAATGAATTTGCTTTATGACATTGGGCAAGTGGGCCCCTCTCAATTTCCCCTTATTCAGTATGGGGACAATAGTATTTTCCTCATAGGGCTGATATGACGCTAAATTGAGATCTTAGATGTGAAAACTCTTTGTAGAAATTAATGGCACCATAAAATTTAAGAGACTTAAATCTAGGAGAAGAAAAGTAGAGAAACCATCATCCTTTTTAGTCTGAGTCCTTTCTTTCTGCTCCTTGATATTTTCCTTTTAGTAGGGGAACCCTTTAGCTAGGTTATAACCTAAATTTTATAGACTTATCATTTTCATATTGGAGGGGAACTGAAAGACCACTGGTTCATCCCTTACATGATGTATAAAATCTCTGTATGCCATAATGCCTGGTGTTTGTTTAGGCAGCACTTCAGAGTTTAAAGAGCTTTCACGTACACTTTCTCGTTGGGGCCTCGTCCTCTTCAGTGCAGGTGCCTTTATTCTGTTTATGCAGATGGAGCAACTAAGTTCCAGCGGGGCTGTGCCGTCTGTTTATGCCACACAGCATGCAGTCAGGAGAGCTAGTTCTCAACTTCAGGTCCTGTGTTGGAACCATATTTTATCTGCCCCTTAATGAGATTTCTAAGTCAAGTCCATAAGTCCTAAAAAGGGTGAGATCCATTAAGTCTCCCCCTCTTTACTTTTCTCTCCCTCTTCCTGAGGTTTTAATTATATTCACTACATCCATTATCTCCTACTTCACCCTTTGTGCCTCTGAGTCTTTACTTTAGAGTAGAATTCCTCCTTAGAAGAGTCTTTTCTGTTTGTTTCTCTGGTTTAGAGTTGAGCACACTGAAGGAGTTTGTGGTTCGAGGGGAGACTTTGCTGGTAGAAGAATCACAGGTTGACTGGTCTGTAGCAGAAGCAAATCAGATAGGAAAAATGGTTATAAGGCTGAATTCTCTAAATTTAGACTTTTCCTCTCTTGGGCCATGTTTTTTCAGCCATTAGAGTCTTCATCCTTTCAACTATGTGTTCCCATGTATTTGGAGTTTGGAACATAGAGAAAATATCAGGGTTTAAAGTTAATGGGAAATACCAGTGGCTAATTATAAATACACTAATAGGAGCTCTCTCTTGTTCTGAGCAAGGTTAACGTTTAGTTTTTAAACAGTTTTTCTAACCAAGGTTGTTCTACGTATAGAAAAAGAGAGGCCATTGTAGATTATTTGTTGGCATTAACATAGAGTGGTTTTGAGGATGGAGCCACACTGTATGAACACTGTTCTAATAAAATGTGTGTTTTATTTTTAAGGTCAGTGTGTGACTTAGGCTCAATATATGGCATAATTTATATTCAACCAAAGGTTTCTTTTTTTGTCTTTTAGTTTGTGGACAACATTTCATCTCGAGAAGAGATAGACCATGCAGAGTATTACCTGTACAAGTAAGTTTTCCATTTCATTAGACTATATATTCTCTTGTTTCACATCCTTTTTTAACACAAAAGGTGGTAAGTACTGTATATAATCTTCAGCTCCTTGCTTTTTTTTGTTTGTTTGTTTGCGTTATGCGGGCCTCTCACTGTTGTGGCCTCTCCCATTTGCGGAGCACAGGCTCCGGATGCGCAGGCTTAGCGGCCATGGCTCACGAGCCTAGCTGCTCCGCTGCATGTGGGATCTTCCCGGACCGGGGCACGAACCCGTGTCCCCTGCATCAGCAGGCGGACTCTCAACCAGTGCGCCACCAGGGAAGCCCCCAACTCCTTGCTTTTTAAGTTTGTGCTTTGGAGATCTTTCTATGTCAGTGTATAGAGAGATTAGACATTTTTTATAACTGTATCATATTCCATACTATGAATATATTATTTAAACCAGTTCCCTATTGTAGGGCCTTTAGGTTGTTTGTGCTCTCTTTTTGTATGATGCACAATGCAATAATTAATAACCTTTTACATAGGTAATTTTGCACATAGTTCTCATAAGTATGTATATTTGATACATATGTAAATGTAATAATACACATGGATATATGTATGTGTATACACACACACACACACACACACACACACACACACACACACACACACATTTAATTTCAATAGCTGTTGCCAAATCTCTTTCCATTGGGGTCTTACCAATTTACATTCCCACCAGCAGTGTATGAAAGAGGCCTGTTTCTACAGCTTGGCCAACAGAGGTATTTTCACACTTCTGGATTTTTGTTCGTCTGATAGGAGAAAAAAATATATGTCTATTTATCTTTTTCCTCCCTTTTTTTATTTAGGTGGAAGTGCACTCTTTAAGTACTATTCAGCTCCTGTTTTCAATTAACACTTTTTCTACATTACTGCCTTTACTTCATTCTTTCTCACAACTGGGAACAATCCCATTGAACTACAGCTACACTCTCCCCTGTGTACAAAGAAGTATGTTCAGTACAGCACCGTCTATAGCAGTAAAAACTGGAATAACCTAAAGTTCATTAAATAAAGGACTGATCAAATAAATTATTATTTATTCTTATAGTTGACTTTTCATCTGTCAAATACCTGTCAAAATGATACCTTACAACTAACTTTTTTTTGTGTGTTTACAACTAACTTTTTATTGTGATTTTAAAAACCAGATTTATGATTTGTTCCAATTCCTAGGCTGCAAAAAAAGACTCAGGCTGAAATTTAAAATGTTTCCAGTAAACATTGTATTAGAATTTCCCATTCAATCTTTGGTTTTTTAAAATATTTATTTAGTTGCGGCAGGTGAGCTCCTTAGTTGCGGCTGGTGGACTCCTTAATTGTGGCTTGCCAGCTCCTTAGCTGCTGCAGGCAGGCTCTCAAGTTGTGACTCACCAGCTCCTTAGTTGTGCACATGAGCTCCTTAGTTGTGACATGCGAACTCTTAGTTGCAGCATGCATGTGGGATCTAGTTCCCTGACCAGGGATTGAACCCGGGCCCCCTGCCCTGGGAGCGTGGAGTCTTATCCACTGCGCCACTAGGGAAGTCCCTTAACTTTGTTTTGATCAAGAGAGTTTTCAGTTATTTACATCTGGGTATATATTTTTTAAAGCTTTCTTTATATTAGGGAAAACATATCCAATTTTCTTGTATGTGATACTGCGAAATAGTAATAAGGCTTCATTTTTTTCTTCCTGAATTGGGTAGATTCTACCACCATTTTGGTGTTTTCTGTTTAAATACAAATCTCAGGTAGATAAGATTCCAAACCGTAAAAAAAAATTATTTTAAATCTAAGATTGTCTTTAACTGTGTCTGAAGTTTAAATTCTAGGTGCTGAAATCATAATTACAAGTGCCCTCCTACCTTTCATTAAGATAAACATAAATGGATTCCTTGATGGGAGCAAGCCCTGCCTTCCTTTAGTGGTTCTTTGGCACTGTAAGGCTCCTTTGGTAGTTATTTTTGCCAGTGGTGAAAGGTGTATTTGGGCTGGCACCTTTGTTTGCTTTGTTCATGGGAAAATGCAGAAAATCGTTCCAATTTATAAATAGGAACTATTTTTTAGAATTCCATCCTGTAGGACACAGTGCTATAGTCTTAGAAGAAATATGTCCCAAATTTACTTGTACCTCTGTAGCATATAATTGATTTCAGCAATTCAATATTCAGCATGTATTTACTGAGCACCCATTGTGTGCCCAGAATTTGTCCAAGGTGCTGGGCATATAGTGGTGAATAAGTTAGACACTCTCCCTGTCTTTATGCATTGAAGTTTAACTGAGAAATTTAAGTCCTACAGAAAGACATTCTGTGATTAATTCTTCATATCATGTCCAGTTTTGTGAGGCCTGGAGTCTTATTGAAAGTTTCATAAAATCTCCCTGTTTTTATATAGGTCATATAGAAGACTCTTGTCCATCTTAAATCTGAGGCGTTGTTTAATTTGACATTCCCCATCCTTTGCTTAATCAAAACTAGTGTTCTAACCAACCATGACTTATCACTCTTTTATTTCCGTTCTTTCTCCTCCCTTCAGTTGCCAAGAAAATAAGCTCTCTTTTTCTGAGTTTTTTTTTTAAGAAAGAAGTGCTTTCATGACTTCATGAGATTACTGTTGTATGTGTGTGAGACCAAGTACAGCACAGTAAAGCTGCATCAGGTGTAGATGATGGAGGCTGGCCAGTATTCGTTCATCAGCTAAGTATCAACTCCTGCTTTCCAGCCTTAGAGGATATACAAAACATAGTAATGCCTCAGCAGAATTGCAGGTTAAGTTATGAACTCTTGGGGTTTCCCTGCTTTAATTGAAATCAAGAATGTTAATCCTGAGGACACCAAGGGCCTCTGGGATTTCCACCAGTTAGGTCTTCAGCGTTCATGGTTGCAATGCCTAACATTTCCACATGGGATGACTTTAGACATCTCGGAGTAAACTTACAATCACAGGTATAAGATATGGAGATATAGGAGCAATCCATTAATCCTGCAACTAATAGCTTCTTGCTGGCCTGCCTGGAGAATTTCTCATTCCCCAGGCAGTACTGTCTTTGAGGGGAAGGCCCACAACAGGACCTTGGCTGCCACCTCTGTCAGTGGCCCAAATCTTTCCCTGCCTCAGTCTGTAGAGACCAGGCTCTGCAAGCAGAATATAATCGCCGCATCCTCTCATCTTCTAGTGATCAGATCTCCCCAGTGATTATGTAAAGGCTATTAGAGCCGAAGAAGTTTGGAAACCTGGAGTGATCAGTGGAGAGCTAGTTGAGCACCTCCCGTTGAGTCAGGTGAACAAGTAAGCAGTTCAGGGTGCTTCCGGCACATGCCAGTGTATTATCCTCCTCTCATTCCAGGAAAGACTCTCAGCTTTTGAATCTCCTGAAGTACACAGGTTTAAAAGTTTGGGGGCATCAACATTAAAGAGTCCCAGGGATGTTTTAAGGAGAGTTAAAGAGAGGCTGCTATTTAGATAGCAGGAGGGAGAACAAATGCTCAACCACCCCTCTTTGGGCTCTGGGCTCCTCTCTGGGGGCCCACAGCCTTTTGATCAACTTCTGCCCTGCCACTTACAAATAAAAAATGGAAACACCAAGGAAAGGGAAATGATGCTTTAAACAAAAGAATAATGTGAACTAAAGATGATTAAGTCAGTTAATACCAGGAACGATATAAGTTGGCAATAAAGAAATTTTTTTTAAAAACCTGATAATACTCTATAACAAACAAAGAGTAAAAGTGATTACAACAGTAAAAAGGCTAAATTGAAGTAAACAAAATATGAAAGCTAAGAAATAAGAGAGGAAAGCCTGCTAAGAACTGTTGGGCTGTAACAAAATAAAACATGATTAAAATAAGAGAATAAAAAAAAACAAATAAAAAATAAATAAAGCAAAATAAGAAGGACGTGAGCCAGGGACTTCATAAACTGTGTATAGATATGGCTGGGAGGTTAGGAAAATAGGCACAGGCACGCTCTTGCAGGGATACTCTCAGCAGACTGAATAATAAATCACTTTATGAGTGGTTTGCAAACTGTCTTCCAAGAAACCCTCGAGCTGGTTCCTCACAGGGGCCTCTGGTTCGTGGCTTGGGGAGGAATACGATGTGAGGGAGAGGCCAGACAGTCCTGCCACCAGCCCTCTGCTTCTGCTTCAGCCAGAAAAGCTGTGCCTCCAGCTTCTTTATGTATTGGGGTGGTGGAGAGAATTCAGGGGGTTCTGTGAACTTAGATGAGAATAAAATTACATTTCTATTTTCACTCACCTCTCAGTATTTAGCATTGCCTTCAATTGTGAATATAGGCAGCAGATCACAGTACTGTTAGCAGCGTCTGTTTCTCACCAATAAAAATCATTGATTTTTTTTTTAATATCTCATTACATTTGTTGCAGCTATCTTGACAAATTATGCTCATCACTGCTTAGAAATTGCATTTACAATTAAACTACTGCTGGCTAGTTTTGTTTCGTGCATTAATGGAGAAGCACATGTGACCATATCTCAAGGATTTTTTGATGTTTTGATAATTCTATTTCACTATAATTGGTCTCCTTTGTTATCCTGTGCATTTAAAACATTTTTCGAGGAGGTGCCATCAGACTGCCCGCGAGTTCATGCCGCAAAAAAATGTTAGAAACCTCACTGTGAAGGCCTTTTGCTTAGGCTTATACCTGCTTCTTACCGCAGGCCTTTTGAAGTTTTCTAGTTCTTTGCTTTTCTTCTTACAAAGAAGGCTTTCTTTTATTTTAGGTTAGACCTTATAGAGTAAGACAGGCATATGGTTGATATGTGTTCTGTTATCCAGATGAGAACTGAGATACAGCCAGTCTCTTGTCTCCCTACTGGAGCAGGAAGAGGTTTGGTGAAAAGTGAGATTTGGACAGGCTCTGAGATGCTGTCCATCAGGAGACTAGCGCTGGGAGGGTGTTGGGTGGGAACACCGCTGCTCGATTTTGGTATCATCACCCCCCTCCCCACTCCAGCCCCGGGTTGG